GCCTCCATTAAAGTAGCAAATAAAGCAGCGCCTAAGCTCCGGAGGAAAGGAAGGTTGCAGACTTTACCATTGTCAAGCACGGTGAAAAGCAGTAGGGATGTCAAGTCAACAAGAAGCACTTCTCGTGCAGTCAAACCAGCTGTCCGCAGCAAGAATCTCATTGTAAAGAAATCAAACAAGGTATTGGTGTCAACAGCTGGAAATTCTTCTGCATCATATGATGTAAGCAGTGGTTTGGATCACAATTTTGGCCCATCGATCTGTCAGAGGTGCCAGTGTTCTTTGAAGGACACAAAAAACGAGTATCATAAGGACAACCCAGTAACTACCATTGCTGAAGTGAGTACAAGTAGTAGGAAGTATGATGCAATCAATTCGGACTTCATTCCAAATGGCTGTGACGATAGTATCACTCCCTTGGCGAAAACTAACATGACCTCAAAATATAAAGAGAAGGGAGAACTTTCCCAAAGCCCAAAGAGCAGTATCTGCGATTTTAGTAGTAGCACTACTAGTCTCAGTGAAGACAGCAATCTCAGTGGGTTGAGTTGCAGCAATAGACCGCATATGTCTAAGGATTTAAGGTGGGAAGCGATCAACAATATAAGAAAACAATATGGATTCCTAGGATTGAAGCACTTTAATTTATTGAAAAAGCTTGGTTCTGGGGATATTGGAACAGTTTATCTGGCTGAACTGATAGGAACGGACTGCTTATTTGCAATAAAGGTTATGGATAACGAGTTCTTGGCAAGAAGGAAGAAAATGCCTAGAGCACAAACTGAGAGAGAAATTCTGAGAATACTGGATCATCCATTTCTCCCGACTCTATATGCCCAGTTTACTTCTGATAATTTGTCGTGTTTAGTTATGGAGTTCTGTCCAGGTGGAGATCTACATGTCCTCCGACAGAAGCAGCCTGGCAGATTTTTTCCTGAAGCAGCAGCAAGGTATGAAATTTAATCTCCGCTTGTCATCTTGCTTATTTGCAACAGGAAAGATAATGAACAACAATAGTTAATGAGAATTATAATTTACGCTATGAGTTTTATCTGTTAGTTCTATGCTCAACTGTTGAAATTTTAATGTGCAATTTTATAGAACTGGTGATCAGTGCCTTAAATTTCAGAAGAAACAATTCTTTATTTCATTTTAGTTAAGAGTGTGGAGTGTTTGCTTTTGTATTTACTAGAAAGTACAATAATGTGATGGTGAATGTGTGAAAAAA